TGCTGTGATAAGTATCCCTGTACATACATCTCTGGGTGTGTGCTGATGAGTGAAAGGATGTGCACATTTTAAATTTTAGTAGTTACCACCAATAGCTTTTCAAAAATGCTTTACCAATTTATATATACTCCCAGGAAATGGTGTACAAAGGTTTCTATTAACCCTCATGCTTACCGTCAACTCCTTATTATCAGCCTTTTTACTTTAATGTTTCCAGACTAGGAGCACATTGTGTGAATTTGCAGTCCTGTTACTAGTAATGAGGTTGAGCATCTTTTCATGTTTTATTGTACATTTGATTTTTTTCTGTTAATTTCCTGTTTTTAAAGTTGACTCATTTGGTTGGCTTTTTCTTGTTGACTGGTAGGATTCCTTGATACACTCTGTTTATTTTTGACTATTATATATGTTACGAGTATTTTTCTCTCAGTCTGTCATTGTCTTTCAACTTTGTTGAAAGTATCAAAGTTTGTTGATTATTGCTCATCTTACCAGAGTTTTTAGTTTTTATGTAATCACATCTGTCAATTTCTTTTTGATCTTAAAAAACCACCTGGTTACAACTACCAGGTGAAAGTTTTATGAGAAGTAGTATATTTACATAGTCTCAAAGTATCTCTCATAAAATACTTAGTTGCAAAGGATAAAAGTGGGGAACCAAACAGATACCACGTTAAGCAAGTTACTGGTTAACATCACCAGTGAGACAGATGGATATCATGTGCCTCTTGATATGATACACTGTGAAGAATAGAGCATATAAATTAATGTATGGAGATATATGTTCCATATAGAGAGAAAGGGAGGTAGAAAAAGCAAATGTGGTAAAATGTTAACATTTTAGGGAATCTGGGTAAAGGGTATTCTTTGTTATTTTTTGTAACTTACCTCTAAGTCTTAAATTATTTGAAAATAACATGGTATAGCTCTTCATTTATTTAGGTCCTCTTCAGTTGCTCTCACAAGTATTTTTAGTTTTCAGTGTATAAGTCATGCAAATATTTTGTTAAATTTATCCTTAAGCATTTCATGTATTTTATGCTATTGTAAATGGTATTCAGTTTTATTTTTTCCTGCCCAGTCTGTATGCCCTTTTATTTCTTTTTCTTGCCCTGTGGCACTGACTAACTAGGACATCCTTTACACTGTTGAGCTGAGGTGGTGAAGGCAGACATCCCTGCTTTGTTCCAGATCATAGGGGAAAACCGTTTGTGTTTCACCACTTAAATGTAATGTTAGCCGTAGTTTTTTTTTTTTTTTTTGGTAGATATTACTTAATAAGCTTAGGAAGTACCATTCCACAGTGTTTTGATCATACATGAATATTGAATTTTGTCAAATGCTTTATCTGTATTTATTGAGATAATCATATCACTTTTCCTTTTTTAATATGATGAAATATACTGGTTAATTTTTGATGTTTAACTAAACTTGTATTTCTGGGATAAACCCCACATAGACATAATACATTGTTCTTTTAATTAATGTATTGTTAGATTCAATTTGCTAAGATTTTGCTAAGACATTTTATGATATGTTCATGAGAAATGTTGATCCGTGGTTTTGTTTTTTTATAATGCCTTTGTCTGGTTTTGGTATTAGGGTAATGTTGTTCTCATATAATGAGTTGGGAAGTGTTTCTTCCTCATTTGTTTTCTGGAATATTTAATGCAGGGTTGGTATTTTTTCTTTAAATGTTTGTAGAATTCACTAAGGAAACTAGCTGGGCCTAGACCTGGGTAAGTTTTAAACATAGTTCAAATTTTTAAATAGGTATAGTGATATTCAAGTTATCGGTTCTTGAATGAGCTTTGGTAATTTGTGTCTGTCAAGGAATTTTTCCATTTAAGTTTTCCAATGCCTGGGCATAAAGTTGTTCAAAATATTTTTTTTCTTTTTAAAAAATTTTTTTTAAAAATATGTTTTTTTTTATTTCAGAGTATGGAAGGGAGAGGGAAAGAGAGATAGAAACATCAATGATGAGAGAGTCATTGATCAGCTGCCTCCTGCATTCCCCCTACTGGGGATCGAGCCCACAACCTGGGCATGTGCCCTGACCGGGATCGAACCGCAGTCTCCTGGATTATAGGTTGATGTTCATCCTCTGAGCCACACCGGCCAGGCTCATAATATTTTTTTATCTTTTTAATATCTCTAGAAGCTGTAGGATATCCTCTTATTCATTCCTAATAATGATTATTGGTGTCATCTCTCTTTTTGCCTCCTCAGGCTGCCTAGACTTTTATCAATTTTATTGATCTTGTCAAAGAACAATCATTTGGTTTTATTTATTTTCTTTATTATTTTTATGTATTCTGTTTTATTGCTTTCTCTCTGTTATTTTCTTCTCCTTACTTTGGGTTTAATGTTCTAGTTTTTTAAGGTGGAAGTTTTGGTCATTGATTTGGGATTTCTTTTTATTGCTAATGTATTTTAATGCTATGAATTTCCTTTAAACTCAGCATTAGCTGCATTATTATTTTGTATTTAAATTTAATTCCATTCACAATACTATTTAATTTCCCTTTTGATTTCTTCTTTGACCCATGAGCTATTTAGATGTGTGTTGCTTCCCATGAATTTGGGGATTTTCTAAATATACTTCTGTTATTGATAACTTATGTAATTCCATGTCGCAGAGAACAAACTCAGTTTTGTAGCCTAGAACAGGAGTCAGCAAACTTTTTCTGTAAAGGTCCAGATAGTAACTATTTTAAGCGTTGTGAGCCACATGTGGTCTCTATTGCGTATTGATTTTTAAAAAAAAACCTTAAAAATATAAAAACCATTTGTAATTTATAGGCTGTACACAAAGAGGCTACGGGCTGAACTTGGTCTGTGGGCTGTTTATTGATCCCAGCCTGGACTATGATCTGTCTTGGTAAATGTTCCATGTATACCTGAAAAGAATGGATTTTCTGCTGTTGTTGCAATTGGAAAATTTCTGGGCATTATTAAAACAGTTCTCCTTCACCTCTCCTTTTTTTTTCTGAGGCTCTGGTTACATATATATTAGACCAATTAATATTGTCCCACAGCTCAAGTAGCTAGAAAAACACATGGAAGGAAATAATAAAGATAGAATAAGATACCATAAGTAAGAGAAAAGGAGGGAGAGTTGTTTATTGAGAAGTGATTCTTCATAAAAAGCATAATAGATAAACTTTTTGGCAAATATGATAGTAAAAGGAAATAATTATAAGCAGAATTTAGATTGAGAAAAGGGAAGTAAGAGTATAAGGATATTTGAAAATTATAAGAGACTATGATGAATAGCTCCTATGTGTAGCCTTATGTGAGTAAAATTGAAAATCTTGATGAGTTAGATCATTGCTACTGCTATTTAAGAGGAAGAAATCCAATAACAAACTTGTATCAAAGGAAGAAATTGGAAAAGTCATTAGAGAATTATTTTTAACAAAGCAGTAGGCCCAAATTGTTTTAAGGTAGCATTCCCTAAAATCATCAAGGAACCAACCAGTAATTCCCACATTTTGCAAACTATCTTAAAGCTTTGAGAAAAGATGGGAAGCTTCTCAGCTTGTATAGAGGAAAGCTAATTTTTAAAAATATATATTTTTCTTATGTCCAACAACCTCGTTGAACTATTTTATTATTCCCGATTCCAACCTAACCCTCAGCCCCACCTATACCCCTCACCCCCANAAATTATTCCCGATTCCAACCTAACCCTCAGCCCCACCTATACCCCTCACCCCCACGCCATTTCTTGGCTTTTTCATCACCCTTTTGATCATGGTTTAGGCTGATGAGTTTGTAAGGTTTGTGTGATTGCAGATTGCACTGTGTTTGTGGAGAGGACCAGATGAGAGGGCGAGAGTTTAAGAAGGGATTGATCTGTTGACTAAGCAAATATCCAATAACTCTGTCTCCCCTTTCCTTTGTTACAGCTGATGGGACTGCCCCCAGGGCTTCTCCCTCACTCCAGTTCAGCCTCGCCTTTCTTACAGTGTTGCCAGTGGAACTGTTTGAATGATCAGAGTACTCACCTGCTTAGAGTGGATCTCCAGCTCCCTGTTTTTAGATTCAAAGGCAAACTCATTGTTTTATTTACTGCTGAATGTGCAGCAGTTAGCGCTTAGGAGGCGTTCGTTAAATGGATGGACTTCCCTGGGACCTAAGACTTACTTTGATCTGCCTTCCCCACCTTCTAGCCCTTATCCTGTCCCCTGGAACGCTCATAGTTCCTCAGACGCACTGTTCCCACTCCAGCCTCGGTGCCTCTGTGCATGCACACCATCCCTCTCCCATGGAATGATGTTCTAGCTCTTTGTGTTTTGATGATGCATTTACTTTCCTCTATTACAGCTCTTACCACTCTTTAACTACAGCTGTCAGCTAGTGTGTATCTCTGTCTGCATCGTAAGGCCCCCAGAGGCGGTGGAACAGTGTCTTTCATAGAGCCCCTCCAGTACCCAGTATGATGCCTGAGCTCATACACACACCACCGGGCATGTGAAGAACATATATTGACTTGAATTAGCTGGCTCCTTTCTGTTTTCCTTTCTATGTCTGGAATATTGGATGCCAACATCCAGCTAAGTTATGTGTGTGTTAAACATGAATTGAAATGCAATTACAGCTGGCAGTGTGGTTTGAGAGCTGAGTAAGAGAGTAAATAGGAAGGGTGACTTAGTCATAAGTGCCAGTTCATCTCCTTTGCTTTCTTGTTCCTGTCATTGAGCATGACTCATGAGCTCACCAGTTCAACTTGTCTCCTCTTAAATCCCATCACTTTAACTCTTCCTGTCCTCCTTGTCTTGCTGGGCCTCTTTCAGGGCCCTTTTGTTAAAACCAGCCTGAAGCCCAGAGCCCAGTTGTGGTCTGAGAGGGTTGGCTCCAGCAGGAACCTGTACCCCCACTCCAGGTGGTCTGTGCGGAGAGCTTGGGCAGAGTGGGGCCAGCAGCGTGGGGCCGGGGAGCCTGGCCAGTGCATTACTCATGTTTGTATACACTGAAGTGCTTGGTGCCAGTGCTGAGTAAATATTTGCTGAAAGAAAAGTAAAGACCTGCATCTTGAAGAGGTGGACTGCACCCTAGTGATGACGGCACTTGCTGGGTGAGGTCTCCCTTTAAAGCAGGTCAGTCTGCCCATCAAGCCTGGGAGGGAAGCAGGGCTCCCAGTCCGACACGAACACCAATATATACCATGGATCAAGTGTTCACTGTATGCTCATGCTTCTGGACAGAACACTTTATTTGCATCGTCTCTCTTAGATATTACCACAACTGTATGAAATAGAACCTATCGTCTCCATTTATGGAAGCAGAGGCTGAGGCTCAGAGAGGTGCAGGAACTCAGCCAAGGTCACACAGCTACTGAATGGTGAAGCCAGCATTTGAATTCACATATTTCCCATACCAAAGGCCATGTTTTAACCTGCTGCATTCCCCTGCTTCTGGCTCAGGAGAGCAGGTGTTGGGTGGTACAAGACACAGACTGTTATCCCAGATTCCAGCCAGAAGAGGACTTCAGAATACTGTGCCATGGTGAGCAGCAAAGAGGCCGTCTGCAGGAACTGGTCTCAGCACCAGCTCTCCTTTCCTTCTCTGCTCATCAGATGCGTCTTCCATAATGAAATCCTAGGATCTATGGTAGAGAGGGTCAGGGAACCCTGCCTTTTAAATTTTAATTTAAAATATCTTCAGGACATTTTAAAATTATAAAGGCTAATTTCTGAAAATCCAAATCATACATGTAGAATTACATAACTGAAGAGTGAAAATACTACCTTTCCCTTCGTCTGATCCTTTACAGTTCAGAGTATCCTTCTAGAGTTGGTTTTTTTTTGCAAAAAATTGTATTTATTTTTAATTAAATAAGGAATAAAAAAATCTTCTTATTTAAAAAAAATCAAATAGTACAATGAAAGCTCAAGTACCTTCTGACCATATCCGATTTCTGGTAGCCACTGTCATCAGTTTGCTCTTTTGCCTGTGTGTTTGCATATATAAAGGACTTAGAGAAATAAATCGTAACTGGTGCCTTTAATATCAGGTCATGCAGTGAACTCCTGCTTTGTTTATACAGAGTGATGCCCGTGTCATTTAGATCTTTCTAGGTGAGTGTGTCCAGTCTACTGTGTTCCCGTTCCCTCGTGTGGGGCTCTGTGGTGGGTGGAACACGCTACACCAGTTTTCCACTGGACAAAACCTTAGACCAGCCTTTTAGTTCAGGCCAGATTTAGCAAATAAAAATACAGGATGAAAATCCTGAAATTTCTTAAATTTCAGAAAAGTATTCATTGTTTATCTGAAATTTTAATTAACTGGGTATCCTGTGTTTTCTCTGGCAACTCTCCTCGTACACATTTGCAAGTATTTGAGAGCCACACTTTTTTTTTTTTTTTAGGTCTCTATCTGATTTTTTTTTAATTAAAACTTCTACTACAAAACAGTCCCCTGATTTTGTCCATATTAGAGAAGCCGAAGGGGAGGGCAGCTCCTGGAAGGAGAAGAGAGTATGCCTCCGGCTGGTGTCATCAGGAAGCTTGGAGGGGCAGGCTTCTTGCAGCAGCCCGGAGCCATAAGAACCTTCCTCCTGATGAGATTTGAGAGGGAACTGGAGCAAAGCCAGGGAGGCTGGCAGTCGCCTGCCTGCAGGTGTGGGAGAGATAAGCTAGAGGTGGGAGAGCTAGAGAGCCAGCCAGGGTGGGGCAGTGTCACTGAGCCCAGACAGGAATGGACTGGCCTTTCCCTGTGCTCCGGGTTGGGGGCAGAGGGAACAGCCCAGGGCAGAGAGATGCTGCAGTCTCAGGAACAAAGATGTGCATTCATTTCTTTTGCTAACAAATTTTAGACATTTTTAGCTGAAGCTCTGGGGTTGACTTGAGCTCTCCATTCAGGATACAAAGGGATACGATGCAAATGGAATCAGAACCGAAAAACACACAGAGTTCTTCACCTTGGCACCAGACTCTTTTCACTTTATAGTTTTTAGAAAGCATTTTGGGCACCCCTCCTGTTAAGGATCTAGATGGCTACTTAGGCTCCCTGCCTCCTTGCTGTGCCCACACTGCTCTGATTAAGGGTTGAAGTGGCTCCATGGTTGGCCACTGTCTGACCCGGGCCAAGTATATGTTTCCACAGTGCATGATCCAACACATCAAGGGCCCTTTGAACTTCATTCTCATTCATAGCGCCAGCCAGGTATTTCCTTTGGAATGTCTGCAGAGTTTCCTGGCCCCTTTGATTGCTTTCTGTCTGCCAAATACATCTTTGAATTGTGGGCGGGCTCTCTTAAAACACCAGGGTGTGAACAGGTTGACGAATCTGGTGGTTAGCTGTGGTGTCTTTCAAGAGCTCCTCTTGGGCAGAGAGCTCTGATTCCGCTGTTGAGGAGCCTCTGACAGTTCTGAGGGTTGGCTGCACAGCTCCTGTCCCAGGGCTTAGTTGGACAGCTGATGTACAAAGTGTTTCTCAGGCAGATCTTTTTTCTTTTCTTTT